AGATATAGAAGTGGTTTTATGAAACAAAAGATAAGATAAGATTTTCAAAAATTGGATAAAAAAATAAATTTTTTAAACAATAACCATCAGTCAAATTTGAAAATGTGAAATGTGGATTTACGGACTCAGTATCATTATGAGTTTTTGTTTTATTTAATCATAAAAAACTTGAATTTTTTTTACTCCGAATTATGAGGTTGTGTAATTGTCACTCTCCAAGTTTAATTATCTAGAAATAAGACATCAAAAACTGTTTAAAGTGCTATAGATTAAGTAAGGAGGCAACTCAAAAAAGTCGTAATTAAATTAGTTTTTAGAGTTTCATTTAAATTGAACAAAAAATGTGCAAAAAGTGTACGACCCTGGTTTGATCTGGATTGATCCCACAATGATTCAGAATTGAAAAAAGTGTTTAAAAATTCCTTGTGCACAAAATTTTTCCGACACATTAGAAAATTCAAAGTTTTCGTTAATTTCTATTGATTTGATTCTTTTATCTACATAATGTATTCGTTCATTGCTCAAAAACTCAGTCCATAATATAAAGGAAAAACTGGGATAAACATGATTTTTGAGCAAAAGTATGTAAAAGTTTATGAAAAAATATTGTGCATGTCCAAATTTTGTATGAAAATGTTGTAAACTTTGAACGCAAATATCTCGAAAGCGGCATCAAACGGCATGACCATATTAGTATAGGAGATAGATAGAGCTTAATTAACTGATTTATATAGGTTTCAGAGAGGTCTTTGGAAGACTTTTTAACTTATGAATAGTTTAAGATTTGTAAAAATACTCAGATTTCAATTGGACTTTTAAGACTTAAAAAGCAGTTTTCTGTTGATTTGGTATTTTTAATATGCAAATCTAAGCTTATATTAGCCAGCAGCAGCTAGCAGGATATCGAAATAACAATAAAGTAGAGAAAATCAAAGAATTTTATTCATATAAAAATTGTAAACACATTTTTGGTAAGAATAAATTAAATGGATTTAGACATCAAATTGAGATGAGAAATTTTCATAAGATCTTCATAATATGATAAGTTTGAATTTTTGAACATTTTTTTCCAAATCTGAATCATTGTGAAAATAGAATTTTTTATTTTTCCAAAAGAAAACGAAAATTTAAATGAAGAGAACAAAACTGCTTGTATCAAACATTTTAAAAAAAAAACAGTTAATATTCAATATGACAAATGTATCATATAATATATTTTAAGATTTCAAATAGTAGCAATTTTTCTCATTTAAATGAAGTTATAACATGAAATTTTGATTTTGTCGTTGCTTTGATATCTAATGGAATGACTAACAGTTTTGTTCTAAACGGATGATTGGCTTACATAGCCACAATTTGCGCGCCGAAAATCGCATTTTCGCTTTGCTGAAAACAATCAGCTATATATACAATTTCATTCATTATACATATGTAGAATTTTACATAAATGTTGAAAAACTTTAGAGAAATATTATTATCATGTTTTCGTTTTTGCGAAATAGACTCGCGCGACTTGAGAATATCACATTCATTCGCGGAACAAGGCAAATGATGCTATTATTCCTTATGCTATTATTCTTTAGAAATAATATTTTTATGTATTTTGACTAGCAGCTTCTACTATTGCTGCTTTCACAGAGTGTCTTATATCATTCATCTTTTAAGAAAAGGAAAATTTATTTGACGTTTTCCCAGTGAGGCAATAAAGTGCTATAACAGGTCTTGTTAAATTATTGAGATATATTACTCACCAGTTGCATTGAATTATTAAATAAGTAATTCATATTTAAAAAACAGAATAAAAGAGAAATTTGCTTTCCACTAAATTTACTTCTACTAAACGTTATGAAGTTGATTTCATGCAATGTTATAATAAATGATATAAAATCAGGGAACGTAAGGAAATTAGCATATCACTTTCGGGCATAGTTATTAAAAAAAATTGAAACGTAATATTAAAGAATATAATATTTCCTTCCGAAATTTGTTTAAATACTAAAATGAATTCTTGAAAAAGATTTACTATGAAAAAAGCAACAAAAATGCTGGATTTATTTATTTACATGCAATACAGTAACAAAAAATAATAAATATTATGTGATAAAAATTGTAATTTAATAAAATATCAAAATCTATATACAAAACTAAAATTATCATTATTTTTAATATGATTGGTATTTATTGTCATATTGTATGTGCATCCAATATAAAGAGATTGCTTTCCATAATACAGATTTTCAGATAAATAGCATAAAGTGCATCGTATCAAAATAATATCAATGAAATTATATCACATTCCACAACATTGCGTAATACTGCATAATAATTTTAATCAATTAGCTAGGAAACTTTCAAGCCCATACCATAGATATCATGTATTATACAACAAAAGTGATATATGTATAAATACATATATGCATGAGTAGAGGAATAGGAATATCACCCCGCATTTCATTATCGTTGTTATCAAAATTTTCATAACAACCTTATGCACAATTGATTAAATCATTAAAATTCCATCCACAACGCCATTTCATTTATACCATATTAATATTCCTATTATTTTTTCCCTTTTTACTTTTTCTACCTCTAAATAATCGAGATTGTTGTTGTTGCGATAACGATAATGATGAGGACGAGATTTTGAATTGGTGACGTAATTTTTCTCTTAATTGCATGAAAATCTGGAAACGGTCAACAATGAAATTGAAATGAAAATTATTTTGTGATATAAACTATTTTAAATTCATGATTATTAGACACATTTTTTTTTCTATGTGCTGCTTATAGAGATCAATTATGCAATAATTTTTTTAATGTAAATTTTATGCTACAAACAAACTAGAGATAAAAATCAAAATGTTTAATTGGGCGAAGCAGCATCTCATAATGCTACGTTTTGCTCTAAAATAATAGAAGCACAGTAAATTTTTGTACACAGCTAGCTATTGGGATTTGAGAGAGGAAAAAAACATTAGACAAAACCTGGTTATGGCAATTTGTTGATATTTACTGAATTGAAGCTGGTTATTTTGCCCTGGATATTTTCAGGTATTTTAATTAAATATTTGACGTTCAGTCTTAGGCTAGAGAATTAAATATTTTGCTCAAAAATATATCGAGAAGTAATTGGAAATTTGACATTAAACGAAGCGAATGCACATTGTGAAATGTTGCTTCAATAAATACTTAATGATGCTTCAGATGTCAAAATTCTGCTTGCTCAATTTTTCATAAATTTATTTCTCACCAACTGCATGAAAAATTAATTTTTTTTTATTTAATAATTTTTTTTTTCTGTGATGCTGCTTTATACTTCTTCTCCTTCATTTTTCATAAAAACATAACGATGTTGATTCTGGAACAATACAATTTTATAGTCACAACAGCCAACAATACCAAACAATAACGAGTGACTTCTACAGAAGTAATAACAATAACAAGTTAGACCTTCAGAACAGACTGAGTGAATACATGCATTCAATGTTTTACTTTTATAGACCTCCTCCTCATCAATCTCACTATTTATGGCATTATGAAGAATTATGGCCAATGAAAATCACGACTTCGACACTTACTGTAAAATCATCTTCAATATTTTATTTGGTTTAACCTTCAATGTTATTTTAAGTCTTAGTCGCTCATCAACAAAATGTCATGACTTGTTTTTATTTGGTGTAGGTAAAATAATTCTTTTCTGATTTTTATGCCAATCTTCATTCAGGTTTTTACTATCCAAGATACATAGATGTGCTCATGCAACAACCAAAATCAAAATTTGTTATGAACTAGCGTATCGGGGAGAAACCCAATGCGGATATATTCACACCGTACCCTCAATTAATTAATTAATAAGTTATAAACTGTTTTTTGCAAATGATGTAAAATTTCAGGCTCAAAATTTTCTTCTAGGACCTTTTATAACCAATATCCAATATTGCTTCGTTTTCTCACAAAATGCAAAAAACTGATTTTTCACACGTGAAAACGAGGTGAATATAAAAATTTGAAATTAAATTTGAATTTTTGACTCAAATAAACATAAAACATTACTTTTATGCTCTTAACAAGAAGATTATTGCGTCTAATGCTTTTACAATACGATATCTTTAGTGAATAGCGCCAGACCTTCTGCTCAATCCTAGAGCTATAGTTTACAGTGGGATTCGAACCATTCTTCTGATGACATTTCTGCCTTTAGCCTACATTCCAGCCTTGAGCCTCATTTCCAGTACATATGATTCGAAAAAGGACAAGTGATAATAATTTTCCCATGTCGAGTCTCGAACACATGATCGCTGTGTCAGTATTGCAATAATTAGGTACCGAATTACTAAACCATTCCGTCACCGAGCCACTTCAGCTCACACAAGGTTAATATAATAAAACCCTTTGACAAAAAGAAAAGAAAAGTCAACTGCAATTTCAAGATGTCACTCAAATATGCTGCCACCACTCAAAATATTTTTCTTCATCTACTGGACATAAACAATCTAAAGACACTTTAAAAATTGAAAACTAAAGGGAGTGTCATTTGGCAGAGTCTTACCTCTATATATCTTGTTATTGTCGTCATTATGATGAATGATGATCTTCAAAACTGCTTGATTTTTCTAGTTTTACATGTTTTACGATTGTACTGGTTTTGCTCTCGTAGCACATCTTCATCACAAATAATTGCCATCTTCCTCAATCGTTTGCTTGCACTAATTTGTAACAGCAGCACGGGAAGGCAAAAAAAAATAACGATACTTGAAACATCATCGTAAATTTAATTGCAATAGTTTCTCAGTTATGCAGTAAAAGCATACGCTAAGAATTCATATTGCCATACATCATCACTATATGCTTTTATTTACACTTGACAAAATTTGATTCAATCATTTTTTTCTCTTCATATCGTGCCATAACAACCTCGGACTTTATAATTAAATTTTTGCTCTCACTTCTCAATTCTCTTTATCATATTTCCATTCACATTTTTTTTTATTCTCCAACAGGTCGGAGAGCAATTGAATAAAGAATGTGAAGAGAGCTGCATATGTCAAAAAGGTGGTAAATGGAGCTGCGAGCCGAGATGCCAGGGTGCTATGATAAATAGGAAGGATGAAAAACTTAAAAACTTAGATTCACATTGCTTTGAGCGATTATCAAGTGATGAATGTTGTTCCATTGTGAGATGTGATTCGAGCAGCGATGACGCAATTGTTTTTGAAGGTGGTAAGTAATCATTTTCCGGATATTTAATGATTTTTTTGCTTATGCTATTAATTAAAAAAGAGAGGGCATATAAGCCATCAATTTGTGGTTTATGTGTGGAAAATTATTAATTGTAGTTCATTGCATCCAATTATGTGAAGGAATAACGAAAAAAGGATTACATCAATAAAAGCTTAAAAATGCATGGGAAAATCCGCTAATGAAAAGTTTAAATTCTGAAAATCGACACATTCATTACATGTACATAAATATTTATATATATACATATATGGATTCATACATTTTTATGTTCAATGTGGTAATTGTACAGTTTCTATAGAGAAAGTTGTATACAATAAATGCAGCAATACAAAAAATAAATTGGATAAAATTGTTGGCGGTTGAAGCAAGTTCAATAAATAACCGCGACAGTGTGCAAATATAAAAGTTAAAATACAAATAAGCAAAGATTAAAAAATAAAAAGTTTCCTTTTCAATGCACAGTCGGCATTAAGTGAAGTCAAAATTGTGCGGTAGAAGAAAAAAGATTCATGATGCAAGTGAAAAAAGAAAAACTTTGTCAAGTGAAGTAGAAAACAACTTGTAAAGTTATTCTCTGTACACTATAGAATTATTCTCATTGCATTCCACAATTTTTCTATATTATTCTATTTGTGTACAAAAAAACTTCCTTCTCCTTTATTCTTATTTTTTTTTTCGACAAAAAAATCTTTCTTCACAGACAGGAGCAGCATGAGAGTATGCAATAAGTGTATATTCTGAAAAAGTGCTGTGATAATCTGAGAATTTCATTAAAGTTTTAGCATTTTTGTATGCAATGAATTTGCTACCCTCTTGAGAAAATAAAGTTCTCAAAAGCACCTCACATTTCAAAAAGTAGTAATAATAACATTAAGACTAAAGCGCTTTATTGTTTTGGAAATTTTTCATACTTTAGTCCAATTAATTTAGAAAATAAAATATACTCTATCTTTAAAATTTTAATATCTCATTGAATTATTGAAGTATATAAAAATTTGTATTAAAACGACTAATTGAGTAGAAAATGCTTCCAATGATAACAGAAAAAAGCTTATAAATTTATACGTATGTTTATTGTATAGAAAAAAGTTTTGAAAAATTTTCACATTTTTACCCCTTCATTTTTTTATTTCTGTGCTATATGCTTAACTTCGGGCAAACAGAAAATTTTTGAAAAGCACTTTAAACATAGAGAAAAATTTTGCAAACAATTTTCTGCTTTTTGATCACTTTTTCATTCATCCAATTCTTTAGCATTTTTTGAATTGAAATTTTCATTCTATGTCGACTTTGTGTGTGAAAATTGCATAAACTTTCAAGTTTCATTTTTCAATCAACAGCAAGTTGTTCTTAGTGGGGAAAAATTCCATGTACAATATTTATTCACTTCTATACTCTGCACTATGGGATAAAATCGAATTTTTTTTCCAAAAATTATTTTATTGGCTTATTTGAAAGGTCTTTATCCAAGGAATCAGAATCTATTTTAATTTTGGACCAAAGTGCAGCAGTGCTGGAGATATAGCCCGGGATGTATTTTGATGACTTGTCTCAACCAATTTTCTTGAAACTTTTTTTAAATGACAAATATAAGCCGAAACTTTAATATAAATATCAGTCACTTAAGTTTTACTTCATGGAAAGTGCTTAAAAATTGACAAAACTTCAACTGTTAGTAGTACGGCACACTTTTTTTGAGTATGTGGATTTCTGATGCATTTAAATGTTCTTTTTTTTTCATTAAATTGTAGCCCTTTACTAGATCTACAAAAAAAATATCCCTTTCAAGGTTTTAAATTATAATTATGCATCAAAAAATTGAGATTTTTTCAAAAAATATACGGTTTTTTACTATGTTTTGACTTCAATTGACTATAACTGCATATTCCAAGTGAGTGGAGTGACAAGTTTTTACTGTTTTACATAGCTTTCATTTGTATCTTTCTGAAACTGTGAAAACCTGGAAAAAAGTTCCTCCAAATTTTCAACTTTGAACCATTTGAACCATGTCATCTGCATGCACCTCAAAAATCTTTTTCAACTTTTTTCGTCAAAATCATGTCCAAACTTGATAAATCTTTCAGAAATGTTAGAAAATAGTGTTTTTGATAATTTGAAATCAATTTGAGTTTTTGGCATGGACTTGGACTATATTTATTTGAAATGTCATCATTTTCCATTTTCAATGAGAAGTAAATGACTTTAAATACACTATATGCTTAACAAAAAGTATTTGTATTACCTTTTATGTTAAGCTACTTAAATTACCTTTCCAACTATATATTTTATTTATTATTATTATTTATTTGTCGACGTTACCGTCCGGAAGAATTAGGTATTTATACATGTTTTTAGTTTTTACATTGATTAGTGATACATTTCATATCACTATGGGTGACGTAGAATCAAGCTTCTAATCTTCAAATCTAGGTTTCAAATAAACTAAGGCTCTCGTTTCAATCTTCTGTGGGCGTGACGTGATACATTTCAGGTCCGTTCTGACAATATTCCATTATAAGGTAATCTTGTAGCTCTCGTTCCTATTTCTCCCGCTACACTTCAAGTTCCTGATCCGTTCCTTAATGCAACGTTGCCCAAAATGCCCAATTATGGCTTGACTCGTACATTAAGCAGTCGAAGTATCTAAACTTCTGAAAAAGAACAAATTTGGAAATGGCTGGATTCGAACCGACGACCTTCGAGTTACCATACCAAATTTGAGCCAAGCGCCTTACCTATTCGACCAGCAAGGCACTTAACTGCTTAATATGTCATATATGAGGACAATATCCCTGAATAATATTGAAAAAACTGAAAAATTACTCAAAACTATATAAAATCTCAAGTATATATTATAAATTTGATATTTTTGGAAAGATAAAATCGAATTTTGAGTTGAGAATTTACCCAGGACACTGCTAGCGTATGGGAAACATGCCATAGTTTGACCAACTCTATCAGATACAGTAAAGATAAAAGTTTTATTTATATTCACACCGTTTTCACGTGTGAATCTATTGGTTTTGTTCAGATTGAAAAATCAGTTTTTTGGATTTTGTGAGGATATGGAGCAAGATAGCTTAAAATGTTCAGAGATGAAAAGTTTGTGCCTTTAATTTCACATCTTTTGCAAAAAACAGATTTCAAATTGGTTGCGGCATTGCTGAGAAAATCGCAAAATTTGCTTTCTGTAAGCAAGCAAACAAGCAAGTTAATCAGCAAGAAATCTCAATAACGAGACATCGTAGAGACTTCTAGTTTTTTACATTTGATCCGTGCTGCTCTATAGAAGAGCTGTATTGTTTTTGGGCAAGGTAGGAACAGCCGTTGCTTCAGAAAAAGCAAAATACTTTCCTTTCTTACGAATTTTTCAAATTAAAAGTTCACTGTGATTTTTTTTTTAATTAAACTTTAGATGAAAAAAATTTTTGAGCAAAGAACCAAGAAGGAAATACATTTTCAATTTTGGACTAGGGGCTAGGGTTTGTGGAAAACAGCTGTTTTTGAAAAACAGTCTGTTTTCGGTTTTTGAATTTTAAAAACAGCTGTTTTCCTGTTTTTCTTGAATTCAAAACAAACTGAGTTATCCTAAGTGTTTCTCTAAGATAATGAAACTTTTTGGTGGTTATAAGCAGTTAAGCATACATTTTAGAGCTAAGCATTATTATTTCTTATTTTTTTATGTTAATTAACTCTAAAAAATATAATGAAATATAAAAATGCAAAAAACAATCCATAAAAATTTATACCTTTAAGTAACATTGCATTGTTGCATTGTAAAAGTTCCATGAGCTCTAATATTTTATTTGAAATTTCAAAAAATCTTTCTGAATAAAAAAATATCTTTTAAAATTGTTGATTATATTTTTAAACTTTAGTAAATGCTACAAAAGGTTTAACAAATTTAAAATTTCGATTGCAAAATTAATAATGATTAACCATAAATTTGATAATGATTTCAAACCTATTAAACATCGAAAAAATATTAAAATAGTAAATACATTTCAATTTGAAATGCAAGAAAAATATATTAAGCTCTTCAAAAAATTAAGAAATTTTTTTTTCTGTAAATTTTATGTAAAAATGAAAAACAGAAAACAGATCTGTTTTTGAGACCTGTTTTCTGTTAACAGATTTTTGTGGAAAAACAGCTGTTTTTCTGTTTTCTGTTAACAGATTCCCCAAACCCCTCCTAGGGGCGACCCTAGTCAAATTCAATTTTGTCACTTTTTTCTTCGAGGGTTTATACAAATGGATTGAAACTTTGCATAAATATTCTAGTGCTTAAAACAAATACAAATAAAACATCCTAAAATTTTTTTGAGCAAAGAACCAAGTAGGAAATACATTTTCAATTTTGGACTAGAGGCGACCCTAGTCAAAATCAATTTTGTCACTTTTTTCTTCGAGGGTTTATCCAAATGGATTGAAACTTTGCATAAATATTCTAGTGCTTAAAACAAATACACATAAAATATCCTAAAATTTTTTTGAGCAAACTACCAAGTAGGAAATACATTTTCAATTTTGGACTAGGGGCGACCCTAGACAAAATCAATTTTGTCACTTTTTTCTTCGAGGGATTATACAAATGGATTGAAACTTTTCACAAATATTTTAGTGCTTAAAACAAATACAAATAAAACATCCTAAAATTTTTTTGAGCAAAGAACCAAGTAGGAAATACATTTTCAATTTTGGACTAGGGGCGACCCTAGTCAAAATCAATTTTGTCACTTTTTTCTTCGAGGGTTTATACAAATGGATTGAAACTTTGCATAAATATTCTAATGTTTAAAAAAAATACAAATAAAACATCTTAAAATTTTTTTGAGCAAAGAACCAAGTAGGAAATACATTTTCAATTTTGGACTAGGGGCGACCCTAGTCAAAATCAATTTTGTCACTTTTTTTTTCGAGGGTTTATACAAATGGATTGAAACTTTGCCTAAATATTCTAGTGCTTAAAACAAATACAA